AAAATAATTACTTTTTTTTTTTTTTTTTTTTTTTTTTTTTAATGTGAAATCACATAGAATGTTCATTGTCCTCTTCCACCCCAGAGTTTAGATGGCAGGGTTTGTTTCAGGAGGTGTATTTCTTTTTCATTTTTCTTTTAGAATGATAAGTATATTTTCTATGCCCTGTGGCTTTTTTCCACTAATTGACTTTTGTAGGGACATTTTCAATTCCAGAACCGGAAGGTTCTAAATGTTATAAGTAGAGCTGCTTAGAAAGTGTCAATGGTTGAAAATCGGGTATGAAGGGTGTAAGGGGTTGTTTTGACAAAATTTTCAAAAAAGGAATTGGTTGGTAACTGTTGGCTGTAAATCTCAAGCTCAGTTATCATTACATGACAGTCAACATGTAACAGCTTGCATCGAGGCATTCTGGAATTTTCATTTCCTCCTGGTATTATATGGTATACTGATGTTTTAATTAGCTCAGATATAACTAACTAAAAAAGAAAGTTGAATTAAAAGAATGTAGTTTCCAGTGACAGTAGTATTATAAGTAGTTATGCCACCTGTTAAATGTGAATTACCCTCATTTTTCTCAATTTCTCCATTTCTCTTTAATAATTTACTGCTATCAGCTCTTAGGAGACATGCGGACTAAGGTATAGAAATCACTGTTTTCCCCTTTATTATAATAGTTTTAACATTTTGCTGTATTACATGCGTGGATCATACAAAATTATATTTACCTATCAATTTTTCTTCTTGAGATTTGCAGTTAATAGATTTTTCACAAATAAAGCATACATAGAAAATGATTAATTAGGTGGATAACTTTCAGGCTGCTGCTCTTTTTTAAATTTAGTTTGGAAACCCATATAATCAATCTGAATTTAAAGTGTTTTTACTACTATACCTTGATTGATTGAACACCTGTAACCATTTATTGAAGCAGGGGTTGCCATGCTTATAAATGAATGGCCCAGCCTTTTGTAGATAGATGTAAATATAAATTTTGACACTAATTTGTGATTATTGCTAACATGGGGGTCTGTGTATAACAGAAAAAGCCTGTACGAAGGAGGTATGAATCTTATGGAATGTACTCGGATGATGATGCTAATAGTGATGCATCCAGTGCCTGCTCAGAAAGATCATACAGCTCTCGGAATGGCAGCATTCCCACATACATGCGCCAAACAGAAGATGTAGCAGAGGTCCTCAATCGTTGTGCTAGCTCCAACTGGTCAGAAAGAAAAGAAGGTCTTCTAGGTCTACAAAATTTATTAAAAAATCAGAGGACTTTGAGGTAAGAAAATGTCAATTGATTTAAAGCAGTTTTCTTTTAGGAACAGGGAAGAACCCACTGCTGTCCATGTTTGTATTTATATGTGGTATAATTTTATTATATTCTAAGTAGAATTGGAGTGAGCAAAGAAAAATACTCTACTGTATAAATGCTAGGTAGAAAATGTCAGTGATGTATCTTGGTATAAAAGTTATAGGTCTTGATTCTGTTTTATTTAGTAAAGTCACTTCATCCGGTTCCATTTGCTGAAGTGGGAAGTAACTGAGATAAAACAGAAATCCAAAATAGTAAATAAAGCCGTATCTTTCAGATATTTCTGAGATGGTTTGTTTTCAGTGTGACTCTCTTATTTTAATAAAACTACTCAGAAGTCCTGCTAGAACCCTTCTCTAATGAGGGGGATCATCACAGACTTAAAAAATGCCTAGAAAACCACTTGAGTGTACAATATTTGTACAGTATAGCCTCATTAATCCAGTGTGCCTGGGACTGAGCACCTGCTAGAAATTTGAAAATGCCAGATTTTTTAAACCGGCACAGCAGCCAGTCAGGGAGTAGGGGAGGAGGGGGGAGCAGTGGCCACATGCAGAGCCATGGCACAGGGTAGTGAATGGCAGCAGGCACCATGTGCAAGGTTCCCCCTCCATGTCTGGGAGGACGGGGGGGAGCGGCGGCTAGTACCGGAGTGTTGGGGGAAGTGCTGTATTTTTTATAATTCCAGATTTTTAATATCCAGATTAATGAGGTTATACTGTATGTCTTAATTTATTATCAAAAGAAAATGTTAATTTGAAATTTAATTCAGCTTTTAACTCATACATGATTTTCTGTTGAAATTGGTAACTAATGAGAGTGGTAACTAATCCCAACCTTAACTTTTCGTTGAACTCTTCTTTATTTAAATATTTTTTTCCTAAAAGTTGGCATTGACAAACAGGATATCGAACCAGAAACCCTTCAAAGTATTAGGAAAAGTTCCCGATTGATATGCCTAATTAATTATTCATATTTTCACAAAATTTTTGTAGACCTATATTTAACAAAAGATATTTAACATTGTAGGAGGTGAAAAATATTTCTGATATGTGACTTAAATATTTCATATATAGATTGACTTTTTCAATTAAAGTGTAAAATAAATGGAATATTACTTTGGATTATTATGAGTTTAAAGAGATTACTTAGTTAAAAGTTATATTTAAGCAACACTTTTCATTATCAATTTTATTAATCTCTTAATTATTAAAATTGAAAGAATTAGAATGCCAAAACCAGGTTATTTACTACCTAGTTTCACTATGGTGTTTGGTTTCAGTGATTGCTTTGTCCTAGTTTCATCTGCTAGGTTTCATTTACTGCACGAGAATGTATAATCAAAGTTAAAGTGCTTCACTTAAATGATTACAAAAAAGGAAAGTTTCTTTGAGAAGGGTTTTTTTAACCTTATCAAAATGTGCTGGCCTTAATTTTTGGCTTTGTGTATAAGGCTTTTTTCTTCAAACAATGCTTTACAGTAGCCCATTAGTTTATTAGGTAGCTAATTAGTTTATTGTTATCTAATTGCTATTTCTCATTATTGACTAATTGTTATGTCATATTGACAGTCGAGTTGAACTGAAAAGATTGTGTGAAATCTTCACCAGGATGTTTGCTGACCCTCACAGCAAGGTATGTTTAGGTTTTACTGTTTGCTTGTAGTCAGCACTCAAAATCTTACACAAAGTTCTTGGTACAGAGTAGTTTCTCTAAATGGTGTCAGTAAGGATTCAGATGCACTTTTGAAAAATGTGCTGTGCATTGTTATGAAATTTGTGATGGCGATCCTGAACTCTTAAGGAACTCTGCTGCAGTGTGCTCTTATTATATGTGCTCTTATTTTCAATGATTCTGAATTACTCAGTTAAATATAAGGAGATTGTGGCATTTGACTTGATTTGGGTTTTCAAACAAAAGTTCATTTTCCATCTTATGGTTAGGGAGATGAAGTGTATGCTGAATTCTCTGCTAGCAAAATTGAGTTAAAGTAAAACAACCCAGACAAGTGGACAGCTCTCTAAAGCTAGTGGGAAATAAAGTAGAATATTTCTAATGATTTAATAATTATTTAAGATTTTCTTGCTTGTCTTGAATTTTAGGCATTCTGAAAAACCTTTACCTGTTTTCCTTTGTTGTGCAGTCTGTGTTAGCTTTTATTCACTTTTCAGTATTGATTTAAATCAGGGGTACTCAGCCTGAAACCAAAGGCAGCCCACAGAGCCTTGGAGTCCATATGTGACCCTCCCCTTACACGGCCTGATCAGAGCCAAGCCACGCCTCCTTCCCTCCTGGCCATGAGATTGGGGCTGGGCAACAACCCCTTTCTCCCATAGGGCTAGGCCATGCCCTCTTTCCCTACATTGATAGTTCAGGATCAGTTCACATCCTGCCCCTTCCCCTGTCCATGGGGTTGGGCCATACGCCCTTCCCTCTGCCTGTCCTGGTTGGGGCCAGGCCGTGTCCCTGTCCTCTTGTGGGGCTGGGCCATGCCACCTCCTCCCATGGGGCTGAATCATTTGGGGTTGGCCCAAGTCTCCTTCTACCATATCACTAGATCAAAGCCAGGCTGCCCCTTGCTCTGTGGGGTAGGATGGGGCCCTGCTGGATCTGGCCTGAGGAGGGATCAAGAATTACCCATCTGGCCGGTTGGCCAAAAAGGTTGAGCACCACTGAGTTAAATGATAGCATAAACATCAAAATTAAATAATCAAAAATAGTTTATGATTTCAGAATTAATGGAATCGCCAGGGCCTTAACTACCAGGATCTTCATCCTTGGCAGTGGCAGTGGTGGCTGGACCAGCAGTGGGAGCAGCTGCCATATTTGCACCCCTGTTAAGTGGGCACTTTGGTCACTCTCATCCTTTGTTACACTGCTGGTCACAGCTGATTGTCATGATTGGTGGAACTTTCAGAACTGGCTCATAAAATGTAAATGTGACAGGTTTTCAAAACTGGATTAATTGAAAAGCTGACAAAATAAGGAGCCATAGTGAGCACCAAAATAACTTGTCAAGATTTCTGCTGTTGCAGTAGCAAAGTTTTGCCTTTTGGGAAATTTGGGACACACATGGGAACAAGGGTTCAGAAAGCAAAGCCAAAGGATTTGTTGAACCCAGGAGTTTAGGAGAGAAGGCCATGAGGAAAAATGAAGTTTAAGTGCTGCAGAGAGACTGAGTAAATAGCCAGGAGAAGATGATCGAATATTGGGGTACATAATGTTTTACGGATCATGTAACAACAAAAATCTTTAATTTTTTAAACTTAATTTAGCTGGGTCAGTTTTGTTCACAGGTCACTAGTGGTGTCTTTAATATTGTATTGTTTAATATATCAAAGAATATAGTGTAAAGACCTTTTTTAATAAGAAAAGCACATTTTTGTATCAATTAATTAAAATGTTTGATATAGTTGTATCAAAATGCTAAATTTGGCATATTTTCATAAAAGGTACTTACAGTTGTGGCAAATTACTTAATTCCTTCTGATTATGATACTCCCTCTTTTAGGTTTACTGGGCACACTTTTTGTTTTGTAACCAAAAGGATGGTCAACATAAATCAGTTATCAATTTAGATTTTTAAGAAGTGTATTTTAAAAAATTAATAGCTTTTCCTCAATCTACTGCTGTTCTGCCATTAGATATTGCAAACCTGCTAAATGCCAACCAATGATTGAACAGCAGAACAGCAACTTTTAAGTATCCCAGGATTAACAAATAGTAAGTTTTGGTATTTGCATGTGAAATCGTAATATGTAATCTTCCCTCAGAGTATTTGTTCAAACGTCTGCAGGAAGTATGTCAACTACCATATGTTATACTCTTTTAACATGCTCTTAGTCAAATGTAAGGAACTGCTTGGGGAAAAACAGTGACTGAATGGTAACTTTAAGAGAAAAGTGGTTTTAAAGAAATAAAGGGTAAACTAAAATGGTTGCTTCCATACTGTTCTGGAAATTTATGATAAAAGCTTTTGAAATATTTTTTTTATTTTTTGTTTTTTTTTCTTCCATACAGGAACTTTGCATTGATGGAGACTAATTTGTGTGTTTTTATCTTTTTCCCCCCCTTTTTTTTCCTTTTTGCATGCTGTCCCCTGTGTTGGAACTCTCTTTAGAGAGTAAGTTGGTTCAGTATTTGTTGGAAGCCTTAACCCTATTGCATGACTACGCAATTAACCCTTTTTCCTCTTTTTCTTCCTTTAAAGAATTCATGCAGTATCAAGCTTTTTGCAATACATAAAATGCTATATACAGTTAAACAAACTGTGTGGTAATGTATTGAGATGTGCTTTATCTACTAATTAACTGACATCATTTGGTTATGGGCTCCTGTTGGTGGTTGGTGCATCTGCAGTGTAATTATTAAGTTACATTTTAAAAAATAATTTACCAGGAAGATACCAGTTTTTCTTACAATATCTGTTTTTGTCCACTATTGAATTGAGATTGTGTAATCTGATTTCAGAATTGAACATTCTAATATGAAAAAAAAAAAAAAAAAAAAAAAAAAAAAAAAAAAGACTATCAAGAAAAATTATATCTGGTATGGATTATTTCCACTGTAAATAGTTGAATTCCAGCTTCTATTCTGCTCTCTTTTGTTTGGATGCTTGTATAATTTTCTGAAGTTGTCCATATTTGATCAAAACACAGATGTTTTGGGGAAGCTCAATCAATATTCAATCATTTTGTTGTTTCCAGGCATAAATGGATGCAGCTGTAACTGGAAACTGAATTTTAAACTTTTCTTGATACTTTTCAGGCTTTGAAATCCAGCTAAGTTTGAAAATGATTCATTTGGTAATTTTATTTTGAATATTTTATTTTGGGAACTCTTCAAGCTTAAGCTTAAATTCTTTTATAGCAATTCAAGATGAGAGTAATTCAGAATATTGGCATAGAAGCTCTGGAGTGCATTAGCAGTAGTAGTTTATAGAAATTCAAACATGAACCAGTCCCAATTTCTAAAGCTTATTAGGAGTATACATAGCTTTTTGCCAGCTTATTTAGCTTGCAGATTTCAGTATGAGCCAGCAAATCGTATTGCTCAAATTCAAGGAATTTAAATGCTCTTTTGATAAACCAGGAATTGTAAGCTATATAAGTTCAGTGGCTTAATTTCATAACCTTTGAAAACCCCTAAATATCCACAGTGAACTGTCAAGTTTAGAAAATCAAGTAATTAAAAGTTAACGTTATATGCACAGCATTTGTCAATGCCAGTGACAGCCTTTTTAAACTCAAGGCATCCCTCAGAAACTGTCAGCTCTCAGCTTTCACTTGTATTTTGACCAAAAAATAAATAACTGAACATTTCTTTTGCATAGAACTTGGAAAGACTACAGTAGGTCAGAAGGTTTTTTGACGCACTGGATTCTTATTTGAAGTCTCTAGGTTTGCCTCATGAATCATGTGCAGGTGTCTGCACGCATAACTGTACTGATATCTTTCAGCCCACATTCTTAAAAGGATCTCCCTGCATCCCTGGGTATTGTAGCATTCTGCGCTACCTGCCCCTCCTGTGTCAGGTCAGCACCTTTCCTCTCCTCCTGCCCTCAGCAGCTCCCCAAAACTCCCTAAGTGGCTCTGCCCCCTGTGCAGCTAGGCAGCAGGCAACTCGGATGGGGCTGCAGGCAGGTGAGGCTGGGATCAGGATTGCTTGGCGGTGAAAGCGCAGGGATGGGGCCCAGGGCAGAGCCACAATCTGCTCCCTTCATGTCCCTTTGGCCACTGGTTGCACAGGCAGGGGCATGCAGGGAGTGGATCCTGGCTGCCCTGGGCCCCAGCCCCATGCTGTCACTGCCCGTGGATCCTGGAGTCTCCATGGAGACCAGCCTGAGACCCGCGTGGGCAGGGCATACAGATGGGCAGATTGGAATGCTGCTTTCTTCCCACCCACAGCCCCATCCCGAGTGCAGGACAGGCAGGCAGGGCTGGGACTAGGATCAGAATCATGGATCTGTGGTAGTGTGGAGATGGGGGACAGAGCCATGATCAGCTTCTCACATGCCCCTGCATGTATCACAGGGATGTGTGGGCAGCGGATCCTTGCTGTGTCTAGGGCCATGGGTTCCAGCCCCATGCTGTCACCACGGCCTTGCAATCTTGATCCCACTCCTGGTCCTGCCTGCCTGACCCACTCCCTGCCTGCTGCCCCATCCCATCCCATCCTCCTGGCCATGAGCCCTGTCTGCATGGGTCCTGGGCTGGTCTTCACGAAAACCCTACTCACGTGCTCTGTCCAGTGTCCCCAGCGGTGGGTGCAGGGCAGATGGGTCAGAGTGCCCGGGCAGCGTGGCTGGGTCTGACAGCAGCAGTGGAGACTGGCAGCGGCAGCTGGAAGGAGCCACTGGTGTGGAGGCTCTCAAAAGTGAGTGTGGCCACTGTGCCACCTGAGCCATACTGCATGGCTGGGGGCACTAGGACCAGCCACATGCGCCAGGTTATCTGTCTTTTACTCCCCACCTCCATCTTTTGTGAAAAACCCTGGAAGATTACATAAATCCCTAGTATAGTGGACTGTATTCAGACCGGAAAGTGGAGCTCTTAAAAGTAAGGTTGCTTGTGCAGCTGTAATTCTGGACCTAGGTGATCCTTGATACAGGGTAAAAGCCTGCATGCATAAATGGACTGGGGTGACTGGCTAAGGCTACAGTACTGCAGAAAAGGACTGGGGAGTACAGTGGACTGTAAACTGAATAGGATCCAGCAGCATGCTCCTGTTGCAAAAAAGGCTGGTAGAATACAGGACTATATTAATAGGAATATCACTTGTAAATCAAGCCAAGTTACTTTCCCACGCTATTCTGCCACCCCACTGGTGAGAGAGTGTCCTGTTTTGGGCCCGTAGATTTGGACAATTTAAAAGGAGCCCAGTAAAGAGTGGCAAAAATGGTGAGAGTCCTAGAAAGCATGATTTACCAGTGAAGGCTAAAAGGGAGGGAATTTGATAACAATATCAAATATCTAAAGAGAGCTTATAAGAATGATAGACTGTTTTTTGTGACTGCGGGTAACAGGCCTAGGAGCAATGGTCTCAAATTGCAGCAGATGAAGTTTAGGTTGGAGATTAGAGAGAAACTTTCTCACTGTATAAGTAGTGAAGCATTGGAACAGTCTGTTCATAGAGGTTGTTTGATGTTTTCAAGAGCAGGTTAGGCAGACCATTGAGTGGAATGGTTTTAGTTGGGAACAGTCCTGCCTTGAGCAGGGGATTAGTCTAAATAACCACTTGAGGTCCCCTCCAGCCCAACTATTATGTGATTCTAACATCTTACATTTCCTGATCCTCCAGTGCTCAACTTTTCAGTTTAAAAATATGTTTATAATATAGCTTTTCCTATGTAATAAAATGTATAGGATTTGCAGCATGGCTACATTGTTTGCCCTACACCTTTAGCTTTTGGAATAGTCTCATTTCTAACACTACCTTGCTTTTCATTGAACTGATACATTAGCACTGATTAACTTTCACTGGCACAAAGTCATAGTGGATTTGAACAAAACATAAGGCAGACAGAACTTTCCTTTTGCTTTTGCACCCACAACTTGCCTATTCCAACACAAGATGTGCTGAAGCTGTGTTCTAGTATTTGTCCCAGTCACATATGCTGTGAATAATTCAGAGCATTCCTATTGCAGCAAGCAGGCCAACACACCACAGATTTAATTAGAGCTTTCATCTTTCAGGGAGGGGAATCTTTGATGGAAACACTGACTGCCCTGCTTACTTTATTACAGGGGTGGGCAGTTATTTCAGGTGGAGGGCCATTTACTGAGTTTTGGCAAGCCCTGGAGGGTCACATGACAGGCAGCCAGGGGCAGATAAATATTAATTTTCTAAATTTTGTAGGGGCCCTGTGGGCTGGATAGAATGGCCTTGTGGGCTGCATTTTGCCTACCCCAGCTTTATTACCACAGAATGACTAAGACCAAGAATTACTAAGAAAAATATCCAGAATTATCATAATTTGTCGACCAGGTATTATAAGTTTTTATATGGTCTATTAAGAATCATGCTTAACTATTAACCAGGATCAGGCTTAGTATAAGGGAAAGATTATTGGACATCTGTCCACTGTGAATTTCTTACCTTTCTTTGGGTACTATAATGGATTAATAGACTAGATCAGTGGTGCTCAACCTTTTGGCCCCCTGGACCAAATGAGTGACAGGGCCCATCTGTGGGCCATATCATGTTCTGTGGCCTGGCACTGCCCCCTCCTTGTCCTGTGTGCTGGGATTGAGTCCACAGGGCCCAGTGCTGCCCTCTCCCACTCCCTGCACACTGGGATTGGGGCTCAGCACCACATATGCCTAGCTCTGCTCACTGGGATTGAGTGCCAAATCCAGCACGCAGGGCCTGAGGAAAGGCATTTAGGCCCAAAAGCTTGCAAAGAGAGAAATTTTTTTTGCTACTATTTAGTTGGTCTAATAAAAGATTACCCTAGAGTAATTACTCTACCCAAGAGTTTTGTCTGCCTATCCTGAACAGAGAGAATTTTGTGAAAACATCAGGTGTGGCAATTGAATTGATATTCAATGAAAAGAAAGCTGAGACATCAATAGTTACCAAAGCCAGACTGGATAACTTGGATTAAACTAGTGGTAGCCAGCCTGTAATGCTGGTGCCGGAAGTGGCACAGGCAGCCTCTGTGTGTGGCACCTGGCAGACTGGGAAGGAGACGGTCAGCAAAGTGACAGGGCAGGGAGCAGAAAGCAGAGCTATGCATCGGGTAGGTGAAGGGGATTGGAATGATTTGTAGGGCACAGGGCTAATATATAGCAAGCCTGCCAGAAAGATTGGCCTCCACTGAATTAAAGTCTAGACTTGTGTTTGTGTTTTGGGTATTTACCCTGATCACTGTATTGACATCAGTGAGAGCTTTCATTAGAGCTGCTACCATTGTCTGGTACCTTTTCTCAGCAGTATACCTTTTTGATCTGAAGATTAGGTTAGAATTCTGGTAGAATATTTAACATTGGAGTCAGATATCTAGAAAATGTTTGTCCCACTCCAGTTGAAACTTTATAATTCCAGAAGTTAGTGATAGTTTCTAACTATGTTAACTGCACGCACGCACATGCACCCATACCCTCTTCTTTGTCATAAAGCTGTACCACAGGTTTTAATGTCACTTGTGATTTGGTCCTACAGCAAGGGTTGTTCTTTTACTTTTGATGTAGATTGCTATTTACGAAGTGGCACAGATTAACTGCATTGCTTTTCCAAAGTAGCATGAAGAAATACCTTTCTAGAAAGCTAATATGCTATAGATTTCAAAAACATGTCAGGATCTGAAATGTACTTGGCTTTATCTTTTGCTGTGGTGGATGATTTCTTCTTTCAAAATCTTCTCTTACAGAAAGAACCTGGTCCTTTTCACAGATATTCTGTGAATATGCAGTATGTTTTTGTCCATAAATAATAATTCACTAAAATAGTGATGTAGCTTCTTTGTTTTTTTTAGAGGTTATTTTAATAGTCTGCATGTGATATGTAGAACTGCCTTTATACATAAAGCTTGAGGCAGTGAGAAACAAAGTCAAGCTGAAAAAAAAAAAGTAAAGTTGTGCCAGCCATCACAGTGAGCATTTCTTTTCTCATTGATACTGCATGGACTAAGTAATTGCCAAAATCCACAGAAGTTGGTTAACGTTTCAAATGTATGCCTGTATCCCAGAAGCCAATGAAAAGCAAGACCGATTGTTTTCCTGCTTGGCTGCAAATCACTACCTCTTTCTGCCTTTGATTCTCTTATTGCTTACTTATTTGTTTGTGAGTTCAGCACATGTCAATGTGACTTCCTCTTTTTTCCCATCCCAACCCCTTTTTCCCTTTTCTATCTCTTTTTTTAGGTGTTCAGTATGTTTTTGGAGACTTTGGTGGATTTCATCCAGGTCCATAAAGAGGATCTACAGGATTGGTTGTTTGTATTGCTGACACAGCTGCTGAAAAAAATGGGTGCTGATTTGCTTGGGTCTGTACAAGCAAAAGTTCAGAAGGCACTTGATATCACAAGGTAATATATTCCTGACCAAAATGTGCTGAGTGACTTCCAGATTTCCCTCATTATTGTAATGCAGGGGTGCTCAATCTCTGGCCTGAAGGCCAAATGTGTCTGGGCCATGGGGCTCCCTACAGATTGGGAAATTTAGCTGCAGGGGAGCAATGGCCATTAATATTGCCATTCTCTCCACTGCCAAATTCCCATGCCTTTACCCCCCAGTGTCAGATTGTGGCTAGGCCATGGTCCCTTCCCCCCTGACAGAGCTAAATCAGGGCTGGGCCACACTCCCTTCCCCGCTCCAGGACCGCACACCACCAGCCCCAGTCTGGCCCATGGACTGCCCAAGCACTGCTTATCCAGCATGCTGGACTAGGGACAGACATGACGCACAAACTGGTTTATGTGATCAGAAACTGACTTAAACCTGTAACAGAACAGATGTTCAGTGCACATAAACCAGTTTCAAAACTGGCAGGGAGGTGGGGTTCCCCCCCCCACCTCCACTGCCCCTGGGGGACCGCAGTGGGGTCTGCCTACCCCAACCGCCACTGCTGCTCGCTCCCTGCTTGCGGCAGACAGCAAAATAAGCTTCCTCCTGCCCCCTCTGCTGGAAGCTGGAGGGAGGGGGAATAACCCCCACCCTGCCACTGGAGCAGAGGGGTGGGGTGCAGCCAGAAGCTGGCTGTCAGGAACACTTAGGCAAGGAAGGAGGTTATTCCCTCCCCCTCCCTCTGGCATCTGATGGCGAGGACAGGAGGTGGCCTATTCTGCCACTTGCCCCAACCCTGGAGCAAGCAGCGGTGGCAGCAGTGGTCAGGGTGTGCAGACCCTGTTGCAGTCCTCCAGGGGCAGTAGGAGTAGAGGGAAGAATAATCCCCGTCCATGCCTGTGACAGTTGTGCCTCCTCGGGTCCGTCTACTAGTGACCCTGCAACACTAAGGGCCAACCGCCCGTCTTCTGGCCTGCCATGCCCTGTTATTTGCTTGATTGGAAGATATTAATCAAGCAGGAGGCTGCCCATTTTCTGTCTTGATGCCTGGGGCACTATCTGTGGCTCCTTTCCTCCCCTTACACTGCAGCCCAAGCCTCGCAGATGTACCTGACATTGTTCGGGTCCGTTCTACTGCGCCCTCACTGGCGCCCTCTAGCTTGTCTCACAGCCTGCACCCCTACCGGCACTCTCTGGCTTGTCCCGCACTGCCCGCTCCAGGGCTTCTCACCACTGTCCGCTCCGGGGCTCCTCGCTGCCCCCTTCACTCTGGGGCTCCTCGCTGCCCCCTAGCTTTGGGCTGGGGCCAATGTACCCAAAATGCTGTGCCCTCTTTGGCACCAGGACCCCCTCCACACTACTGTGGGGTCCCTGTGAGGCCTCCTTCAACCCCTAATAGCCTCACCCAGTCCTCCGGTCAAAACAATAAACACAAGAACACAAAGCCCCTGGGCTACAACATAAAAGCTAGACCGTCCAGTCAAACAAGATTCAGTCCCTACCAGAGAGAGAGCGCCCCAACCCCAGCAGCAGCCAGGGGATGTTCCCACCGTCAGAGTTCTCCCCTACATCTGCACTAGCCGAGTTCCTCCTCCCTCGGCTGCCTGAGGGTAACTGGCCTCCTGCCTGGGCTTGGGAAGAGCTAAGCCCTGCCCCTTTCTGTCGCTAGGTTTCACTGGTTGCCCTAGCAACCAGCACCTGCACAGTCCTGGTGACTGGCAGCTGAGCCTCCCCCCTTCCCGCTCCTAGGGGTCTTTCCCGAGCCATTTCTGCTCTCAGGCGCAGGGCACCTGAGTGCTCTGCGACAGTGCCCCATCTGCCTCAAGGGCCATACTGGCCAGTGTCTAGCCACACATGGCCCCACTGATGCAGCAGCAAGGGGAGAGTGCCCAGCAGACCTAGCTTGGATCCTGCTGGTGAGACAGGGAGGGGGGAATTAAACCCCTCTCTGGCCAGTTCAGCTAAGGCTACAATCCAGGCTGGCCAACACCCCCCACCCCCCAAATACAGCATCCCTGCACACAGTCTAGCTGCAGGCATGTGCCTGCATTTCCTCAGTCCAGAGGGAATGTCTGCACAGTTACAAATCAGTTCAACCTAGGCAGGTTAGACTACCTGCAAAGTTTGAATCAATTCAGGCTCAGGCTTTTTGAATGTTTGTCCCTAGCCTTGGAGAAAAAGATTGAGTTCCACTGCTGTACTGGAAGGGTTTTGCTTCAAAGAAGAACCTGTTGTTAGCTTTAAAACCACTTCTGAAGTTTCAAAGGTAGTTTAGACTCAGGAATAGAGCCTAATTAGCATAGCCCAGTTAGCTTTGCATTGTGTTGTGTTGATACACCCTATACATATTAATGATGGTGGTTTTGTAAGTAGCACTTAGAGTTGTTTAACATAAAGAGGTGGTTAAAATAAGCCCCATGTATGTAACATGTTTTCCTGATGCTTTCATTTTGCAGAGAATCTTTTCCAAATGATCTCCAATTCAGTATTTTAATGAGATTCACTGTTGACCAGACCCAGACACCAAGCTTGAAGGTAATGTTTTCCAAACTTGTATTATAAGCAAAATATTGATAGATATTTTCCTACTGTTAAATATCTGGATGTTTTGCCAAAAAGGTTTTCAATTAGTGGATTTTGTTTTTATAAAATTTCAGACAGTCAAGCCAGCACTGCAGGACCAGCTTCGCTCTTTTTGGAGCTCAAAGGTTTTTGTCTGCATTATTGCCTTCATTTTTAACCCTGTGCAAAACTACAATGTGTCAGATAAGTTTTATTTGTATGCACCTGTATGCATCTACTAACCTTTGCAAGAAACTTTAAGCATGCAAATGTTGCAGCTGAAATGTTACACAAGAGTCAAAGCATTTGATGCGACAACAGACCTAATAAGGCTGTACTTCAGTAAATACAGGGGCAACAAAGATGGCTGCCTAACACCAAGCTGGTTATGCAAACTCACTCTCTCAAATCTTTCCTAATTTTATGTTTGTGATTTTCCAATCTTCCTGTCCAAATTTAGTGGCTCTGACAATGAAGATATTTTACTAAATTATTGTTTATGTCTAGTGTGTTTTGTGTTTGTTAATGTATGTATATTCAAATTGGCATATTTAAATTATTGTTTTCAAAATAAGTTCTCTTTTTGGTATATTCAGTGCATACTTTTTTATGTTGCTGTTCTAAAAGCAAAGTGTTCCCTTATAAATGCACGTATTTTCACCAAAATCCTTAGGTTTAGAAACACCTTTACAAAATAAAGATTGAAATCCGTAGTGAAATTATAGTTAGAAAAATCTGGCTTTGGTATGAAGGGAATAAAACCTAAGGTTTACAATTAAGACAAATTGGGGAAACAACAAGCATATACAAAATTGGCATTTTTCTGCTCTTTACTGCACGGAATAATTTTACACAATTGAATGTGTTGCACAAGATAGCATTGCATAAGGTAATATTTTTGCCCTGACTACAGTGGGAATACATGAAATATCTTGTTGCTCTCTCTAAAATGCAGTAAGATTTACACTGGTAAACTCTTTTAAGGACAATTTTTGCTTTATTATGCAGTTTTAAACTAGGGACTGTTATCAAAGCTGTTGAATTAAACCAGTAAAATAGTCAAGAAATTATAAATTTTCTATAAGTGTGTTCTGAAGGAAGACTCTTTTTTCCGCAAAAAGACTAATATGTCAGGTTGTATATTAATCATTTTTAAGTTTATTTTTTTCATAGATTTCTTGATGTAACCACTAATGCAATGATTTTCAACCTGGGTGATGCAAGATCCTTTCAAGGGTGCTGTAGGGTGCCATAGTGATAAAACAAAAATAGGCAGTGTTAAAAACATTCTGACCTGTTGTGGTCTTTCTAAGTTCTTTGCAATGTAACAATTGCTTTATTCTTTTTCTGTAGTCATAAAGTGAGTGAAAATTAACAGCTGGTATTTTCTGATGAGTGCCTTGACAAGCCTGAAAAGGCTTGAGAACCACTGCACTAAAGCATGAGCAGATGCCTTTTGTAAAGCTCATACTAGCAATTTGGGGATAAAAGGTAGGAACTTCTGATATAAGATGAAGGCCAAAGAGTGAAAGCCATCAAAGATATGGAGATCAAAAGCTACAAGGTATAGAGGGTGGATGGGTTGGGTCAAAGCATATCTTGATAACTTTGAAGGAAGTCAGAAATGCCTAGGTTAAGAAACAGATTCTTGGTAGTTAATGTAAAGATTTTTTAGTGGTTAAGAAAAATTAAGATTTCTTGAGCAGATGTGATCAGTGAAGTCCACTATTTTGGAACTGTGGCTTCAAATGTTTATCAGTATGTTACTTCAAAACAAAATTGAGACTATTCTTAAATTCTTCTCTAAACTATATATGCTTGATTAACAAGAAATAATTTTGTATACAGAAAGCCAAAGGCCTTTTCAATTCACAGTTCTGACCCATCGAAGAAACCCCTAAACTAACACTAAAGACATGGGTAATGTATTTATTAGAGGTAATTGAATACAATGTGGTAGAAGTATTACATATCTAACTACGTGACTTCAGTGTTTATATTTGTACCCAAGTGACTCATAACTTAGTTACCTTGTTATAGCTAAGGTCCCTAATGGACTTCAGAGTTTCAACTCTTTTTTTTTCCCCTTCTAACCCTAGAAAATTCCTTTAAAGGGAGAGATTTTGGGGTGGGTTAGGTGAATTCGGAAATGCCTTTCATTTCTGTGATCACAAAACTGGATCAGAGAGGAAGATCTTTCAGTATAATCTGATGATGATTAGATTCTTCATTTTATCTACAAATTAGTCTACAAGTAGATTCAGCTTTGACCAAGAATGTGTGTCTGGCTCTTATGCTTTGTCCTGGGCTTTGTCATGTGCTTTCACTGCAAAGGAGTGCAGCTGTTTGTATGTTGTGCTTATACTTACCATACCTCTAATGTAGCTGGGCTTGTCCCATTAGTGATTTAAAAAATTAGAAGCAGGACTTTGAATTTGCTGCAAAGGTGGAATGTGAACCAAAACAGCAACAGTGTGCATCTGTGAATCACTCCATGGAGAAGCAAGGCATTTTTAGCATCGTTTAGGGTCTGGGCATTGTTTTTGCATTCGTCATCAAATAAAATGCATTAAGATGTGTCAGAGGATGACAAAAAGTCATAAATCACTTTGAAATCCATGTCTAAGAAGAAGTGATGTTTTCTAGAGAGCATTCCTTGGCAGGTTCAGTGATGAGTAAAGCAGGCTCTCAAGACTTCGTGCCATTTTGGCAAATATGGAATGTTTGCCTTCAAAGAAAGGGCGTTGTTCTAGCAAACTCTTCAAAGCACTTCTTTTTTCCCTGAAGTATCAGTTCAACCCTTTTTGGGTTGAATTTCAGGCACCTGCTGTTTGTCCTGGAGTCCGTCTCCTGTGTAGGCATTATGAGCAGAGTTGGTTAGGATTTTTTTTTCCAATAAAGCATTTTTTCACCAAATGCTGATTTGATGAAACCAAAACTTTTCACAGGAAGGCGTATACCATTTTGGGGAATGGTTTGGCAAATCCAGGATGGAATTTCTGGTCAAAACTGCAGGGGGTTAGGGAAGGGGAGTGGGGGAGGGTGCCATTAACTCAGAGGGCACTTGTTTGACGTGTTAGGAAACCCATCCTCAGGTGTCTTTTTTCCCCTTCCATCTCCCATGTTCTCAGAGAGCCAGTATTTTCCCTCCCCCCTTCTCCTCTTCCCAGCAATAAATAAAAGAACAGCTTTTATGCCAAAACAGGCAAGAGTGTAGGGGTTAGGGCACTCACCTGGAATGAAGGAGACTGGGATTCTACAGGTCTTTGGTTTCAGCCCAAGAGAACAGATTTAAAACTGCATCTCCCACATACCAGACAAGTGCACTTACGGGCTATTTGGCTTTTTTGGAGGTGCACAGGTGTCTCTTTCTCTTTCTTTCTGGATTTTGTAAGGTTTGTGTTTTATCCCAGTGTGCAATGAGTGAAATCCAAACTTTTGCAGCACAGGAGACCCCTTTCCCAGTCCACTGTCACATTGTTCAGTGTTTTTAGGAATGGAGTTGCCCCACCACTGGTTCTCGGTATATTCTTGGCAGTGAAGCTGATACAATTTCATTATAATTGACCTGATGTGAAAGATCGTTCTGCAAAGACCGAACTACTTTTTACTATAGTTTAAACCAGTAATTCTCAACCTTTTTAGACTCCAGGCACCCTTTGTTGGTCTCAGGTCACCCTTGGAAACGCCAGCTGTTAATTTTCACTCATTTCTTGACTACAGAAGAATAATGGAGCGATTCTGTTGCAAACAACTCGCACCACAACTGGTCAGAATGCCTTTGATGCTGTGGATTCTTGTTTGAAATCTTTGGGTTTATCTTGTGAATCATGTGTAGATGTTTGCATACCTAACAGTGCTAATGTTGAGCAGCACCCTATGGTACCTAAGGAGGGTCTCAAAGCACCCCAGGGTGTTGCAGCATGCTGGTCGAGAATCACTGGTTTAAACTCTCTAGTCCATGTACAGGTCACTTCATGTGAAGAACTTTGTTCCAACACTGTTATTACTGTAGCACTTGAGAGCCCTAGGTATGGACCAGGACCTCGGTGTCCTAGGATGCTGGGAAAAAAAACAGAATGAGAAGATGCGTTTCGTAATGTGTTTAAAAATCTAAGAGGCAACAGACAAATTCAGGAAGATAATATTGGTCAATGGGATAAGTAGTGATTTTTAGTAGAGTAGTTGCCTGACCATTATGAAATACATTGTAGGCATTAGAATAAAAGAGAGCAGGGAGGAAGATGCAGTGTGCACTCTGAATACTGAAAGTATTGCAGGGAGGGGACCTCATCCTGGATTGGACTAAATATGGTAATATGAGTTGCCTTTCCTCCCACAAATGTATACATTTGTATAAATAGTTGAAATGTTATGTTCATTATCAGAAGTATCTAAGTGGCCCATTTCTATTAAGAACAGTTGTAATGTATGCCAAAAACAGATTCAAAGTCAACCCAAAACCCTATCCTGTGATGTTGTACTTTTCTTACTGAAGAGCATCTCTGATATAGTTCAGTTATTCATGGAGACAAAACAGCTGAAAAGTTTAAACAAAATGATCTCAGTAAGTAATTGCCAACCTATTTTCTTGCCTGCTGCCCATTCATACACGTACTTACATTCATTAGTCATCAGTTAGTTCAAATGGGTGGGGTGCGTATGCTAGATTTCTTCAACTTAAGAACATAAGTACTGTAGTTGGTCAGACCACTAGTCCATCTAACCAAGTACCTGTATCTCAGTGCAGAACATGGATGCTAAGGCAAAGACACCTATCTAGACCAATCTGTCCCTTTCTTCCCTTATACCTTCCAGTATTCAGAGTCCTATAAAGTCATAATTTGGATGTCGCACCCCAAACTGTAATGTTTAATACCCATTGATGGACCTATCCTGCATGAATATGCCCAATCCTCTTTTTCACCCAGTTAAACTTTCAGTGGCTACATCTCTTTTTTGTATACAGTGAGTTCCACAAGTTAACTACATACTGTTTGAAATAACTTCTTTTTGTTTTGTTTTTTTTAAACCAGCTCTCTTATAATTTCCTAGTTATGATATTGTGACAGAGTTAGTAAATCCCTATTTTCTTTCTCTATGCCATTTGTGTTTTTATTATTCCGTATCATTCTGCCCCCCCTCCCCCGCCGTCATCTTTAACCTGAAAAGTTTTAGCCAATGGAGCCTCACCTCAAGGAATCTTTTCCACCCCCTGATCATCCTTGTTCTTCTCTCTAATGTCTCTTCCTCTGTTATATCCTTTTGAAGGTGGGGGAGCAGAACTGCACACAGTATACAAGGTGTGGGCAAATCATGGATTTATACAGTGATAAATGATATTTGCTGTTTTGTTTTTAGTTCCCTTTTTTAATAATTCCTAACATTCTATTTTCACTTTCAACACCTAGTGAATATTGGGCTGCAGTTTTCAGAGAACTACCCACAATAACGCCAAGATTTCTTTCTTAAGTAGTAACAGCCTGTGTAGAGATCCTCTCTGAATATGTGTATCTTGGGTTATTTTTTCCCATATACATCACTGAATTTCATCTGCCATTTTGTTGCACATTATTTCAATTTTATGAAAACCTGCAGTTTTTCACAATTAGCTGTGTTTTGACCTCCCTGAGTAATTTAGTGTTATTGTAACAGTTCAACTTCCTTACTTTTTTTTTTTTGCAATGGAAAGGTTCTTTACAGGATTTATCCCAAAGATATTTAATGCTAAATACCAGCTGCTGCTCCAGGAAGGACTGACAGTGGATTTTGAGTTCTAATAAAGTAAAGTGTACTGGAAGAGGCTGTTTACACTTGTATATATCCATTGATTGATCAAATGGCCCTCTTGCCATACTTTGCTGCTTTGTGCCCCCAACTCCAAATATAAACTAATCAAAAACCAAATGAATGTCTAGACTCTTAAATGTGGATTGATGCTGGTGATCTTGGTGTTAGTGAAAATTAAGACATCTGTTAGTACAGTATGTTCATTTTGAGTTTTATATTGGTTTTCTCTTTCATATTGATTCCTGGTAATTGTTTTAAAATTAATGAAGAAAAAAAATTAAGAAACAGGTTTGTTTTGATTCTGTTAATTTTTTCTGGATTTGTTTAATTTTTGTAAGAGAAGGAAATTTATTTTGTAAGCAACATACCGTTTTTATCAATCTACTTGACTATGGCTATCTTTGCAGGTAAAAGTTGCAATTCTTAAATACATAGAGACACTTGCACAGCAGATGGACCCAGGGGACTTTGTTAATTCAAGTGAGACTCGGTTGGCAGTATCTCGAATCATCACCTGGACCACAGAACCTAAAAGCTCAGATGTTAGGAAGGTATGTCCAATAAAACTGAAATTAATTAATAGTTTCCTCTACATTAGTTTTGAGGGTGAATAGTGTTTTATGTGTATTGTCACAATAAAGAGGTAGTTGTTATTTATATAGCCGTACCCTGCTCTACATACTTTAAAAGAAAAAGTTATTTGGGATTTGTAATGTAAGGCCATCTTTCTGAGAATAACTTTTCTGAGTTCATTCTGTAGGACTAGGGAGTCACCTACTTTAGTATCAGTCTTGCCATGCAAATGAAATTCAAACATGATGGGTTAAAATAGAGGGGAAAAAAGCCTTGTATATTTTAAGGCAAAAAGGATGTGCTGAGAACATTTTTGCTAGTCTCTTACTAAAAAATCTTAGAATTTTAGAAAGGACAAGTTGATTGGGATGAAACCTAAGTTTATGGTAAAAGGGCTGACATTGCTTTTATTTTAGATACTTGCATGGCATTTACATTTATTTAAGTGGCCTTCTTTAGGCAGCTTTTACTAATATTACTTCAACAAGGACCACCCTCTGTCACAGTAATAATACATTCACCACAGGACAAGTGAGTAAGAAGCCAAAATTATAGTTCATTTGCTTCAGATTTTACAAAGTTCTTTGTATTTGATGAAAGGATTATGGAGTAATTGTTGAACTGTTGACAAAAGGAGGTTGACTTTTTAATAAAACAGTATCAAAGAGCTGAGCAGATAAAGGCTACAATTGCTGTGGAAAACTAAAATACACTTTTTAGAAAGATTTGTTTCTGGGATGAGTGAGTGATGTTTCCCTGTTTAAAGAAAATATTGAAAAGATTTTGGCTTCATTAACCTCATAATATTCAGTATTGTGAGCTCACTTCTGATTTTTATGCCAACCTCTCCTCTCCAAGTCAGTTTAAGGGATTTTTACCTTTCTGAACAAGTTTTTAATAGTTTCTCCTTCCTTTAGATCTTTGAATCCTCCCATTTGTCAACTTTCTTTCCCTTGCTGAGCTAATATAATCTACTTTCATTACTCCAGTTATTTGCACTCCCCTTGATAATTTGTGGATTTGCCTTTGGTCTCCAGTTTTTTTTTTGTTTTTGGAAGAGCTCTTAGTGTAACCCAAATTGAACTTGGCAAAAATCATTCCTCCCGAGCCTTCCTTTTATTCTTTACCTGCATCATCTTTGTCTTTCAAAGGTTGATTCTTAAAATTATTTCCCCCAATAAATATATAATTATGTCAAGACTTTACAAAAGAGGGGGCTGCCAAAATCTGCTATAAAAGGAAACCTTAATTCATTATATGCAAGTGAAAAGTGGGGGAGAACATCGCACACAAATGCACAAGTTTTAGTACTTTTTTCATTATTTATCAAGTATCAAATGATTGAAGTGTTATTAAGTTAATTAAATTTAAATTATTAATATTGATGTCCTCCTTCATCCTTTCCCCTTTTCACCTTTCCTACATACTAATATTGAAACCTATTTTTCATTATCTGTTCAAAAATTTCAGTGTTCCTCTGCATTCCTGTTCTTAATAATCTTGTCTCGGAATTGACCATTAACATTCCATGACTGCTTTCCCAGCTCTAGCATTTTTTGCTATCTTTTGAAAACATGGAAATATTGAAACCTAAGATGAAGAAGACTCACTAAATACTTCTGCTTACTTTAAACTGCCTAGTTCTGAGCTGCTCATCAAAAATGACACACATCCAGAATTTATAGCACCCTGTAGCAAAAGACTGATCAAACGTGTTTTAGATGTATAGCATCTTCCATCAACTACTAAGACTTCATGAAAGTTGCTAATAAATGTACCTTTCAAAAAGAATTACAAAAGTTGAGCCTTTCAATAAAAGTTGCAGGGTTTTAAAGATTTTATATAGAGAGAGATATTCACCATTTGTTTTTAAATGTTTCCTGTAATTTTTTCTGAGTGGAAAAGTCTTAGTAACTTGTTTTTAACACATGTACAGATCTTTGATTTTCATATAACGTTTTGGGTTTAATCACGTTATCTGGACAGTTATAGAGGCTAAACAGGTTTGAGAATGTAACTCAGGTATGAAGCCAGCATATACCTGTGTTTCTATACCCCTGTATTAAAGAAATATAAAACAGTTGTGTTGATGTCAACTAATTTAATGTCCTTTTTCTGACAGAACAACAGACCTCTAGATAAAGGTGTAGTAGATTTAAGTAAAGCATTTTAGCAAAGGCAGAGAAGGTACTGGTTAATACTGTAACTGTGAGGTGGAGAAGGAGCTGGCTAAAAAGAAATTAAATCAAGTTATATTAAAAGGAAAGCTATCAGTCTGGAGAGAGGTTACTTAATAATATTCCTTAAAATATTCCTGCTGTTTAATATCTTCCTTAGCAGTCTTTTCGTGCAAATTAGACATGTTTAGGAAATTTGTGGATACCACAGTTGGGTGACAGAACACTAAGGCAGAGGAAAAATAAGTTTTATAAAAATAACCTTCTGGACTGGGGTAATAGAAGTGTTATGAAATTTACTAGCACAAAGTACAAAGTTGTGTGCATGGTCTAAAATCAAGAACTTATGTTATAAGCTGTGGCTTTTAGATTTGAGGCAAAGGAGAAGAATAGAGACAAGAACTTTGATTGTTGGGTGATTGCAAGTTGCTGGTGTGATTCAGACCTGAAAGAGGCTTAGTTTTTAGAGGAGACAGAAGCAACAGTATTGTTATACAAGTCACTCATTGGACCTAATTTACAGTATTGTATAGTTCTGGTCACTTTTGTTCAAAAAAAGATTAATTTAAACAAGAAGGTTCAGAGAAGGGCCCCTAAGATTATTAGGTGAGAGCCTATCTTGTCAGAAGAGATTAAAATACCAAAGTATGGGGGGTGTTGAGAAGTATATGAGTGCTCTTTTTTACAAACATGTTTGGAGGCATAAAAGATGTTTCAAATTCCAGGGAAAGAAAAGAGTTAGTTAAGATTATGGGTAGAGAGAAAATGCAGACAAACTAGTCACAAATCAGTTTAAACTGGAAATTAGAAGGTACCTTTGTAATCATCAAAAAATGAAGTTCTGGAATGGTTTCCTGAATGACCTCATAGGTTCAGGGAACTTAAATTGTTCAAAGCAGATTTTGATTCTTTTGTGGAAGAGATGGCATGATGATATATAAGAAGGAGAAGGAGGATCCAGGGAACTATGGACCAGTAGTACCTCACGTCAGTCCCTGGAAAAATCATGGAGCAGATCCTCAAAGAATCCATTTCTAAGCACTTGGAGGAGAAGATGATTTGGAACAGTCAGCGTGGATTCACCGGGGGAAGTCATGCCTGATCAACCTAAATGCCTTTTAAGATGAGGTGACTGGATCTGTGGATGTGGGGAGACCAGTGGATGTGGTATACCTTGATTTTTTTAGCAATGCTTTTGATACAGTCTCCCACAACATTCTTGCAGGCAAGCTAAGGAAGTATGGGCTGGATGAATGGACTGTTAGGTGGATAGAAAACTGACTGAAGCAGCGGGCTCAGAGTAGTAATCAATGGCTTGATGTATATTTGGTAGCTGGTATCAAGTAGAGTGCCCCAGGTGTCAGTCCTGGGGCTGGTTTTGTTCAATGTCTTCATCAGTGACCTGGCAAATGGCATAGAGTGCACCCTCAGCAAGTTTGCAGATGATTAAGTTAGGATTCAGAGTGACTTAGACACATTGGAGAATTGGGCCAAAAGGAATCTCATGAGGTTCAAGAAGGACAAGTGCAAAGTCTTGAACTTAGGATGGAACAATCCCATGCACAAGTACAGGCTGGGGACCGACTGGCTGGGCAGCAGCTCTGCAGAGAGGGACCTGGGGACTGCAGTAGATGACAAGCTGAATATGAGCCAACAGTGTACCCTTGTTGCCAAGAAGGCTCACAGCTGTATTGGTAGGTATGTTACCAGTAGGTTAAGGAAAGTGATTATTCCCCTCTATTCAGCACTAGTGATGCCACATCTAGAGTACTGAGTTCAGTTTTGGGCCCCCACCTATAGAAAAGATGTGGACAAATTGAAGAGAGTCCAGATGAGGGCAACAAAACTGGTGAGGGTGCTGGGGCCCATGAGGAAAGACTGAGAGAACTGGGCTTATTTAGTTTAGAGAAGAGGAGACTGAGAGGGGATTTAATAGCCACCTTCAACTATCTGACGGGGGCGTTCAAAAGAGGATGGAGCTAAACTGTTCTCAGTGGTGGTAGATGACAAAAGAAGGAGCAATGGTTTGAAGTTGCAGCAAGGGACATTTGGGTTAGATATTAGGAAGAATTTCTCACTAGGAGGCTAGTAATACACTGAAACAGGTTACCCAGAGAAGTGGTGGAAGTACTATCTTTGGAGGTTTTCAAGACCCAGCTAGGCAAAGCTTTGGCTGGGATGATCTAGTTGGGGCTGGTCCTGCTTTGAGCAGGGGTTGGACTAGATGATTTCGTGATGTCCCTTCCAACCCTAACTTTGTGATTTGGGGTTGTTTTTGGAGCAGTAATTTAAAGCTTGTAGCATATGATGGGAAGTGTTTGAAGTCTCCACAAATGTAATGGGAAGGAAGCGATCACCATTCATGTTGTTTGTCTGTGCAGGTGGCATCTGGAGGAGAATGGCATTAGTTCACCGGTGGTGAGAACAAGATTGGGTGGCAAAGACTGAAAAAGTTGTCAGGTGCTCGGAAGAAGGCTAGTGTTAGAGCAGTTGTGCAGAGGAGTGATAGGCTTGCAGTGACTCAGCTCTGGAGGAAAGTTTCTTGCTTTGAGGTATATTTTATATTACTGGGAATTCTGTGGTTTTGTGTGCACAGATAGGGAAGGCCTGTCTGCATTAGGGGTGTGTGAAGCAGGCCAGATTAGATTTGGATTCGGCCTCGTTCGTGGGACAGTGATTTGATTAGTTGATTTGGGTCACTGTCCCGATTCGATTCAGCCGAATCCAAATGTGAAGATTTGATTCTGATTTGGAGAATCAGTGATTTGGCTATAGATGCAGTTTTATATGTTTTTTCTACA